GTACTTTTTTGTGTTCTTGCTCCAGTTCATGACAATCTCAAATATGGCTGTGTTCCATTTTGTTTACTTTTCATTGTTGTTGTTTGGGAAGATTAAATTAACTACCGTGTCTTCATTATGTTACTTGCTGCCCTTTTATGGACAACAAGTGATTTTCCAGCATAAGCCTATTTTCAACTATATATACTTGTCTAAATTGTGTTATGTTTGTAAATGAGACGCTCTTGTAATTTTCCAGCATATATGAGACCTTAAATTGTGACTGAGGCATATTTATTATAGATACAGTGGCTGTTGCGATTCAAAAATAGCATAAGTTATTGAACCTTAATCCTTGGTCTGTGACAATATTAACATGTAATTTGCCAAAGAATTTAGTAAATGCTTGTTACTTTTGTTTTTTTATTTAGGAAATTTGAAGGCTGTTATACGTCTTTGATATTAAGAGTTTTCTTTGTCTGTGACAATACCTGATTTTTACTCTCTATAATTGGTTCCTATGTGCATATTAAGAGCTATCTTTGCTTTTATTTTGTCTCTTATTCTGCTCTTTATGTAGTCACTATTTGGATGAGAGTTTAAATAAATGAGACTTTATTTTTTGTGAATCCTCATTTGATTTTCCTTGTCTCAAGTTTGTTTTGTCATCTACTAATAATTGTATTTTTCTATTGCAGATATATTGCACATTTTAGAGTTTTGGAAGATGAGTAGCCGAGGCTACTTATTAGCTCAAAAACTGGTTATAGTGCTATCTTATGCTTAGGAAATGTTTCGTATAACACAAAAATGTTTTGGGACTTGGATTCGTTTTGTACTGCTCCCTTGCCTTATATGATACAACTCATTCTAATACTACTTGTCAAACTCTTTATAATGTGATGTTGCACATGATTATGATATTGGAAGGATTATTATAATATTTTGGCATTTTCTATTGTAATGGGTGAATGTGTTTGTTATTCATTAAGCATTGTCGGTGGCTCCCATTTTTTTATATTACTCTAGCAAGAAATACATCAAACTACACAGTGACAAGATATTGTAACTGAATCACATTTCTCCAATGACAAGTGCCTATTGTCAGTAAATCAAATGTCTTTATTGACAACAATTGTTGTAATTGAATTAAATTCTATATTGACAACAATATGTTGTCACTGTTGAAAGGTGTTTAGTGACAACAAAATTGCTAGTAATTGGACCATATACTGATGACCATTGTTGAGTTTTAGTGACGATATTGTTTCATGCATCATTGACAAGAAGTCATGTTGTCACTAAACTTAAAGCATTTATTGATGAGAAAAGTTGTCACAAAAGCTCTTTATTCACTGACGACTTTTAAGTCATCAGTGTATACTTTTACCGACGGGCATTCAGTGACGACCCTGTGATGACCGAAAAGTTGTCAGTAAAATCCATTAGTGATGACTTTTTACTTTTTTGTGACAAGAATAGATTGTCACTAAAGGTCAAATTTCTTGTAGTGAGTAGATGTGAAAGTTAAGAGAAATATATTTTATAAATTAAATTAAATGTGAAATGCTAGAAAAATGGAATTGGTAGTGGGAAGATGTATGGAGACTTGTTGCTAAAAATCCCTTCTCAAATTTGTATAGATATAGATGCTTTGAATTAAGGGAGATGGGATGTTGAAAGATTTGGACAGTTTCATCAAGACCAGTAGCAACTCCCAGCTACTGGATATGTCCATAAGAACAGTTTTAGCGGTAAAAATGCCAAAAACAATGCGCAAATGACTTGTATAAAATAAATCAATCCAAATTCCAGCAAACTGTAATAAGGAGGACCCTAGCTACCAACCTTTTTTCATATTAGTTTGTTATTATGATTTAGTCTTTTAATTTAACCATCTACTTGTGCAGCCAACTCAGCTAGAAGATTGAAGGTGTTAGATTTGAATGTTTGAATCTTGAATTTGGTAGCAAAAAGAATTTTAAGAACCCTTTTCTGACTATTGGACCAATCCTAGTGGTTCCAGTGATTTATAGGGTGCTCTACATGGTCATTTTGTAACAACCTATGAGTTTAACAATTGGTCTTGTTTGCCAAGCAAATTTTTGGTCAAATTTATCTGCTACAAGGTTTTTTAATAATTTTAATTATAGTAATCTCAAAATTTTTTTTTACAATTTCTACAGTAAATTACAGTAAAATTTTAGATAAATATTCATAAAACTCACTTCACAAATGGGGCCATTGTTTTTATTAGGCAAGTTTAACTACTGCTACGAAGTAACTTGCTCCAAATCCTCTATTCAATTTTAACGCTTCCAGTTTTGGAGAAGTTTGGCTGCTAAGAGTGGACCAACGGACTGTTCATACTTATGTATTCTTGTTCATATTTATAACTGTTAATATTAAAATTGTTGCTTGGATGCCATTCATTTCATGACGCCGAAAAATTTACATCCTGTCATAGACTCGTACATGTTATAAATTGAAGAACAAGTCGACCAATGAGGAGGAGGTTATAATACGGAAACAAACAGAAGTAATTCACTGTTCTTGGCCTGACACACTTTAATTGGACAGCAAGTGTAACAATCAGAATGCGAAGATATTTTATCTGCAAAAGAAATAATGACCACAATGCTTCTAACAGATAAAGAACTCGAAATTGAAAACTTCCTGTACAAAATAATGACCTCTTGGCCAGGTCATTTCCCTTTCTCTTTCTATTTTCATTGACGTTGGGCAAATCAGGTCATAATTACGGTGTCACAATTATTGTCGTTTTCTTTTGGAAGAAAAGCGTTACAATAATTACTACCGAAGAAGGTGAAACACGTTGATGTACTAGTCCATCGTGCGTACGCATCTAGGTAATTGAACTTTCATATGTACACTAAAGAGAAATTACCTGGTGTGATAAAAATTTGAATTAATTGAAACATGCACCGTGAACTATTATCGATTTGCACTTTAGTTTTGAAACTATTAATTCTAACACCTTTAGCACCTTATTGTATCAATTTACAGCTAAACGTTCAGATTGATTAGTTTAATTACTACAATATTTTTGAATGGAAAGACTTTAGCAACCCTAATTTGCATCTGTTTCCTGACGTACTCTTATCCACCTAAACAAGTATTAAATGCGAATGGCTATGGAGGGACAAGATGAAATTAATTCTAGTAGAAAATAAAGAGAACTTATTAGTTACCAATTTGTATCGTGCCTTGTTAAGATATGTAGAGTTCAAGGTGAGTAATTGCTCCAAAATCCTAACTTGTAGTGTCGTTTCGTTTTTTAGGTTTCATCTCTCCTTGTTGAACAAAAATTAAAAAAAGAGAAATGACAATTTTGTAAGCTAGTTACAGAATTACATATTCCAAAATATTTGATTCACTTGGCCAATGGCTATCCAATTTGTACATTCGATTTCTTTTGTAAATTTCGTTTACTTACCCTAATTTCTTATCCCAATGGTTAAACGTGAATCACACGGCAGGAAATCTTTGCTGTTTCTTTCTATCATTCACACTACGGATTGTGACATCCAACAAACCATATGAATGACATCCAGCTCATGAAATTGATTTTCTCTGCAACTAGTTTTGATTTGCTACACATGAATTACGAGATAGAAAATAGGAGTGATATATTTGTCAACATTGGTCATTTTCTTTCCCTCTCTTTATTCTTTTGAACAAGTCAAATTAAGCTAAAAGGACTTCGTGGAACTGGAATTCTACCTAATGAGACAATCATATTAACTCTGTTTGGAGTTCATTTAACAGACAGAAAGCATTTCTTTCTTTTAATATCCGTCTTATAAATCCTAAGTACTGCAGTATTATATTGCTTCCCTTTTCCTTCAATTACTCTTTTCTAATAGATATTGATTCTAATTGCCAATAAAATTAATCTACCCTTAACTATATTTATTCATCCATCACAAACTATTAGTTTGAGAAAATGAATTCTATTTATACATAATTGAGTAATAATCAAACGTAATGGGAATATGAAAATGCAACCAAAGACTGTGATTTTTTTTTCTGCGTTCTTTAACCTTTATTTATAAGATGGTAGTTGCATCTATGTAAATTTTTCTTTTTTTCTTTTCAAGACCAACAAATTTGTTTAAACATGACCTGTATGCCAAATAATTGCTACATCTTTTTCTTTGGTTTTGGGATATGCCAAATATTACTAAATATTAAGCTGATTTTATATTTCAAATGTAGTCAGAAAATTGGTTTTGCCTTTGAATATGTCCTATCTTAATGCCCTAATTTAGACCCGAAATCGGGCTTGAACGTTTAATTGCATGAGACAATAAAAAAAATGAAATATTACGTTGATACTAGACAATAACATAGCTGTCTATACATGCCCTTTTTACTCATGCGATTTATCAATTCTTTTAAATTTTAACTACTTTCAGTTAGATGAGGATATCTAAAGTTCTCAACCCTAGAATGCCCAGTGCAATTTTTTACCGTCAAATGTCAATCACTGAGAAACCATCCTCGAACCATCACTGCTGCAAAACTAAGTGCTAATACTTAATTGAATTGGTAAACTCTTTACAATAAATTAGTAAACGGTTGAGGAAAATCTACCTCAATATTTGGAGTAAGCATGCTCTTTTAGCATATGAGATCATTACAATTGTTAAATGTGTTTGTTAAGATTATGATTTTGGTTAAATTTTTTTATGCTGTAGACTTTGACTCTAACAACCAAAATTATTCTTTAAAAAAAAAAAGGACCTGCAAGGAAATGAAAAGTAGGAGAGGGTATAAACGTCCAACAGTAGAAGGCTGGAACTCCCATCCTTTGCGCAACGGATCTTCTGTCCCACACCCTGTGTCATTCTCTGTCCCACTTTTTATTATATTGCTATTTCTCCTACATAAATAACATGTAAAGAATAAACAGAACAGAACAAATGAAGGAATAGTAACAGAACTAAAAATTTGAAACTGAATATTGATTGATTAAACGCCAACATTCAACTCTACCAAAATTTATTACTCATTTTTTGTAACTGATTTTATCCATTCTGATAAAACCCAAAACCAAAAAAGAACAAAAAGGTTATGCTTTTCTGCAAAAGTCCATGGCTACGCTAAGAGTTCCGGATGTTGTTCCTTCTCCAAGACAAGACTGTGAAAGACTCAGAAAAGCCTTCCAAGGTCTATTCAATCTCTTCCTTTTCCATTTTTGTTCTGTTTCTTCTTAATCTAAATTCTGTGGCTTTTGTTTTCTTTTCGTTTCTCTTTTGCATATAGTAGTAGAAACACCTCCTGGTACTACTACATGTTTGAATGTAGTTTTGTGCTGTTCATGTATTCTGGATTCATGGTTAGGCCTGGGAACCGACGAAAAGGCAGTCATAAAGGTGTTGGGACATAGAAATGCAAGTCAGAGGAGGATAATCGGAGAAACTTATCAGCAGCTTTACGATAAGTGCCTCATTGATGACCTTAATGCTGAATTGTCCGGTGACTTCAGGGTAACTTTCAGAATTCCCTTTTAATTGTTGGTGATAATAAGATTTTCAGTCCCTAAAGGGATAACTCAGACTTTTCTACATTTTTATGAATTAGTACTAAACATTGCTAATTTATTTGGTATTTCCGGTAGGAAGTCAGGTACTGATTAGTTCAAGTTAAGTTCAAGAAACTCAACACTTAGTTTAATTGCCTGACTTGGAAACTATCTAACTAATGATTATAATATCAAGTGACAGAAAGCTGTTATCCTGTGGATTTATGATCCTCCTGAAAGAGATGCAAGGCTGGCAAATGAAGCCTTGAATTCCAGGAGGAAAGGTGTCAATGAACTGCAAGTAATTGTTGAGATAGCATGTGCATCATCTCCTCACCATTTGATTGCTGTAAGACAAGCATATTCAATTCTATTCGACAGTTCACTTGAAGAAGACATCATATCAAATGTTCCAATGTCTCTCCAAAAGGTAAATTTAAGCCCTCATATAATATCCGTGTAACTAAACATAGTTCTGTTGTCCTTTTAACTGATCATGAATGCATTTTGGCAAATTTTTGTTGATATTTTCCCAGTTGAATCTTTTCATTTTCTTAGAGTTGGATTTATGTTATTGGTTTTCCTCAACTTTAAGACTTTTTGTAATGCGATTCAGAATGCTTACAGCCTAGATTTTGATAGCTCAATATTCATCCATTTCTAGCTCTCAGAAATATTTTGTTATTCTGGAATATGGTGTTTCAGAAGTTATAACTAATAGATGCATATTTCGTCAGGTTTTGGTTAGTTTAGTCAGTTCCTATAGATATGACAAGAACGTAGTTGATTCTGCTATTGCCAATTCTGAAGCTGCCAAGCTATATGAAGTTATCAAGACGAAGAAATTAGATCACGATGATTTTCTGTCCATCCTTAGCACCAGAAATGTTTTCCAGCTGAAAGAAACTTTCCTGCATTACAGGAAAAACTTTGGAAATTCCATAGATGAGGTTCAGTTCTGACTAATTATTTGACAAACACCTCCTAGTATTTTGCTTCCTAACTTTCCAGAACACTCTGTCAGGACATTTTGAATTGTGGCAAAGGCAATTTGGAATCCATTTTGAAGGTGGCCATCTGGTGCATAGACTCCCCTGAAAAACACTTTGCAGAGGTAACACAAAACTCAAATGAGCTGGCAGCATTGTTTCTGATACAATTCCACTTAGTTCCCTACTAGACAGATTATAAGACTCGGTAGAATGTTGAGTTTGTGGAGTTTCATTTTTACACTCCGTCCCTCTTAAGGTAATTTTCTCTTGGAAATATTCAACCCAAAAGCCAGTGTCATTCGATTGATGACTAAATTGAACAGGTTAGTCCTGCTTGGCAATGTAGATTGTAGGCAATTTAACTGGTACTGTGTGTTTCATTCTCACATCCTAATGTACTAAACCCTCCTAAACTTTATCCTTAGTTGCGCTTTACCCTCTGAACTTATTAAATAAGCACTTTGTCCCCCTATTTAACATTTTAAGACAAAAGTGCCCTTAGTATTTTTTTTTTCTTTTTTGTTTATTCATTCCCTTATTTTTCCTTTTCCATTACTTTCCTTTATTTTTTCGTTTACTATTTTCTTTTTTTTTTTTCACTTCTCTTATGTCACTATTTTATTTCGCTTACCTACCAGTATTACTAATTTGTATGTTTATTATAATATTGTAATTATCTTTTACTTATAATTTTATTCTTTTTTTTATTTAATTACACTATTAGAAAATTCAAGACAAATTAAATAGCATAAAAAATTAATATATGTCTGTCATAATCAAAAAGTGTATATTTTAGCAATTTGACTATTTCAAAAAATATTAACATAAGTGCATAGTTGATTAACCACTATGTTATTACAATTTGAATTTGTTGCTATTGCTATTAAAAATTAATTTATTTTAAGCTCTAAATATGCTGATTTAAATAATATATGAAATAATTTATGTGTATAGGTAATATATATTTTGTTATAGCACAAACTTTATGATAATTATTATTTTCAATAACAAAAAACTAAAAAGGATAGAAATAAATAAAAGATAAGTTTAAGAAGATTAAAATTAATATATGGATAATAGTAGCAAAGAGAAAAACTAGTTGATCACATAAGAGAAGGAGAAAAATTTTAAAAATATGAAAAATAAAAGTAGAAAAGGGCGAAAAAGAAAAAATAAATAAAATAATAATTAATATGGAAGAGGTACTTTTGTCCTAAAATATAAAATAGGGGGCAAAGTGCCTATTTATTGAGTTGAGAGAGTTAAAATGCAATTAAGGATAAAGTTTAGTGGGGGTTTAGTGCATTTAACCCATTTATAAATTAGTAAAACTTTTTGTGGAACTATAAAAAATAATGATACTACTGAATACTTGATGATCTACATGATTTTTTTATTTTGATTTTTCTATTTTCTATTTGCAATCCCATATTTTGATTTGAAAATTTCAGGTGACTAGAGCTTCCATTGTTGGGTTTGGGACTGATGAGGATTCTCTGACTAGGGTGATAGTAACTCGAGCAGAGATAGATATGATGAAAGTTAAGGGAGAATATTTCAACACCAACAAAACTAGTCTTGATAGTGCAGTTATTGGTGACACTTCAGGGGATTATCAAAATTTCCTCATGACCTTACTTGGAACAAATGTCTAAATTGCTGCACATGGCAAGGATCCTATCCTCTATTCATATGAATGTGTGATCGCAATCAAATGTTAGGCGAACATTGATTGGAAAGTAGTATTTTAAGAATATTGATTTTTACATGTATATTAGGTATGTGAAGTTACTTGAATAAAACTACGTTTGATTTCTATTTAGAAATTCCAAATTACTAGAATAGGCTATTTCTAGCTAGTCACTTTTCATCATAGAACTCAATCTTTTCCTACTTTAACTAAATCAAAGAACAAGGTATCAAACTACTTAAATGGTTCTTAAAAATCTAAAGTACAGTTATTCTATTCACCAAAATTTTTCACAAGAGTGTAGTTCATATCTCAATTAGATAGTTCCTAGTTGTAGGATAAACTAGAATGGATATTGAAGAAGGGTAAGGACAAGTGTCCTTAAATTGGTTCTTGGGGTTGACAAGGGTTTACTTGTCAATTTTCATTAAAAAGTTATGACACTTGTCAAGAGAGGATATAGGTGTTGAGGAAGGCTAAATGTGACACCTCAGCAAATGATCTCGAGTTCGAGGTCTTGCGCCTGCATGAGGCACTATTCACTAGTAATGGATCTACCCAACTTACCTATCAAGGAGCTAGTATAAAGGCAAGATCAAGCAATAAAGCGGGGGCTGGTGACAATTTTTACTCTCTCCATCTTTACTATTCCATCTTTAATTATTTTCAGTACTCCATACTGATTTAAGCATCAAAGCTTGTTACAGGGAATTAGCATTGTCATTTACTTTATAGATTTAGAAATCAGCAAAGCAAATAAGTGACCTTCAAGAGGCCTTTCTTCTGGAACCGTGACTTCCATTTTCTCCCACTTCTCAACATCTAAAATTGGCACTATCTATAGGGAACCACAAACATTCTTCCCCAGTTGAATTTCTTTTGTTAACTTTAACTAATAATTTGCAACGTGGAAAATGAAGCAATCCAGAAGACACCAAGGCTCAACTAGTTCTCCTCCCACCGGAAATAAGGATAAAGGAGTAGACAACTTTATGTAGACTCAGTTGGAGATAAAAATACAAGAAGAAAGTCATCAACTTCCATCGTCAGTAGAAATGAGTTAATTTTTGGCCTAGAATTTTCATCTCATCTAGCAACTGGTACAATGATGGGAACAATAGTAGTAACTGTGACGACCCCACCTCCCCCTAGGGCGTACCCTAGGGTTTAGTGAGTTGCCTGTCCAATTCTCACCATGACTCACTCACTCGTAACTCGAGAAAATGACTTACATCTATAGAAAAATAAATAACACAATAATTTCAAACTTAATATATACATTGATGTTTAGATCCAGCTACAAGGCTTATACACGCCCAAATATATTAAAGTGTTTATAATCCAACTACAATCAACCCTAGTCAGGTGCTAGTGCGAGTATATAATTTCAAAATTCAAAAACTAGACTACTCTAGTCTGTACAAGTCTCATGCCTCGCTCGTACTCCCTGTAAGGAAAACAAATGTCGTGGAATGAACTAAAACCCCAGTGAAGTTCCAAATAGCAAGTTGACCATTCTTTAAAAGAGCAAGTAACAATGTAGCAAAATAGCGAGTATATCAAGTTCATAAAAGGGAGCAATAACACTTCAAGTAGCAAATCTCAAAATGAGCGAGTGTAAAATTTTTCAAAGGAAACAATAACCCGATAAAGTAATAATCATGTCAAAGGGTAAGGATACGGATGACTCTCAAGAGCCAAGTTCCCGTTGCTTCACCAGAACTTGATCAAGTAGTAGTTGATACTCTGTCAACTTTCACGTAAAGTAACTAGTCCAGTAGAGCACCACTTAGCTACAATCTCCGTCTACTAACCAAACCCGCTACTGGGCCCAAAATTCTCAATAAACACTGGTGGTAATACTTGAGCATACCGATTAGTCAAGAAGGTAACACTCCACTCGACAACACTAGATACCCATAGTTCATTATCTAATCGACCAAACCCTTGCCGGCTCGACTCGATTAACTAGTTAGTGGGGTTTGGGTCCCCAAGAATTCGATAGGATAATATCTCCAATAGAATGAATCAAGATAAAAGTACGGAGACGGGAATGAGAGGCACCTCCCACTCGGATTAAGTGTGGTACATGCTGCCGTTCAGCACTTATAAGTCAAGTACAAGTATATCAAGTCAATTGCAACAATAAATGAGTACATATCACATTAGGGCAAGTGTGATAAAGTACACCCTTGCCTGACCATACCAATCACATATCATTTGATCACATTGGTCAAATATTGAAAACAAGTGTCAAGTTCAATCAAGTATTTGGAAGCGCTCACCAAATATGTAGTGCCTTTACGGATCACGTTCAGGTGTTACTTCTTGTTTAGAGTCCAAATATGCGATAAAACATCATTTAAGATCTTTGAAATTCAACTAAGATTCGAAATTTAAACGTTTCGTTTAACGAAATTCAAGTAATTGAAACTCATTTGGAGAATATTCATCAAACTCATGCTAGCTCTTAAAACTTTGAAACTTTGAAGCGATTAAACTTTGAAATCCCCGTTTGAGTCGAAGAAACGAGGAAAACGTATTAGTCGTTACTTTCATTTTTCCAAGGGTATAAGGTTCGGCCGAATTCTAACTTATATACCTCTATGAGCGAAGACTTGAATACTCTAGATGATTCAAGTTAAAGTCATCCTCAAATCCTTATTCAAGTTGCGAGTACACCTATCTAGCTCTCAAGCGAAAATTTGGGCAGCACGCCCTTTGTATTTACCTATTTTTCATCCATTTATGGCTTCATTATTTTTCTCAACTCAGCCCCCAAAATCACACACAAATAATCTTATCACAATAGCCTCTCACTAGGCTCAATGTCATTCAATTACCAAACAAGGCTAGCAATGCAACCGGAACTAATGTTCAAGACAAATAACAAAATAACAGGTTTGACGTCTCTTGGCGTTTTGGTCACAACCAAAGCTATGCTTATTGGATTAGGGTATACTTTATACCATTTCAAAGCTAAGACAGAAACTACAAGTCTTATGAAGACATCGACAGCCAATTCGTTCATTTTCAAAGTCAAAATGTGACATCTCAGAGGAAAATAGAAAACTGTCCGTAAAACAGTACATTTGACAGTCAAGGGTATTTTTGTCATTACACATGATACAGTACTTTGATTGAGCTGAAATTTTACAGGAAGCTATATAACTCCATTCTCTACAACTTGCATGTTTTGACCTGGGCATGATTCGGCCTCTAAAATGGACGAATTAAACAGGTCAGAAACAGGACAGATTGGATTCACAGTTCTGGAATTGATGACTCAATGCTTGAAATTCACATTTATGGCTTAAATCACCATACTAAGTCCCTATCAAAACTTATCAACATCATATGCTATATAAACAACACTAAACACAACTGAACAACTCAAACCCTAGTTCAACAATCCACTATATCAATCAAAACTAACCAATTAACCGTCATAAGGCAATATTAAGAGCTTCTAACTAAACTTTAACAAGATTAAATGCAAGAAAAGAATAGGAAACCATAATACCTCATCAAGGCTATTTGCAAGAGAAAACTACAATCTTTCATTCCAAAACTTTGCCACACAAAGCTTCCTAAGTACTAAAGAGAGAGTTTAATCGATTTAGAAGTTTGGATTTCACTGAAACCAAGCCAAAAATCAAGATGAAAATGAAGTGTTTCTTGCCTTTTTTTTTCTCTCTTACTCTCAGCCACAATGACAGAATAGGAGGAAGAAATGAAGCTCAAATAGAGATAAGAAGGTAGGATTTTAGTTTGGTCAAAGTTGGGTTGATCTTTGCCAAGTGTCGCCTTGAGATTCCATCTCAAATTTTTCTTCTTTTCCTTTTTATTTTGGTCAATATTTTTGGCCAACTAAAGCTGATAAAAGGCTAATATTTTCTGAGAAATAACAAGGATATTAAGGTAATAAAGTGGTGGTCAAGTGGTGTATTCAATCGGTAACGAACGGTGCACTTTGGTTCACACCGTTTTTCCTTAACTCGCACGTACTAGGGTTTTCACTTACAATGCACTAACTTATTATTATCACTTCTAAACATACACTTTTTCTTATATAAAACTCACTCTTAATCACCAAATTGAGTACATACTCCACACCGATTATTCATTCTACCAAAAGACGCAAAAACCCTAATTTACGATACCAAGAAAATGAAAGGAAAAAACCCTTGATTCTATGTTTAATTGCAATTAATAAGGGAGTGAATGTGTAGTAAAACTAGTATAAAGTAAAGAATTTCAAATTAAAGAAAATTTTAAGAAAAATATAAGGCATTTTACAAGTCCTCACAGTAACAAATGCCTAAGAAGGACACGAGGGATGACAAAAAGCCAATGTATTCTCCCCAACATCCAGATGAAATCTCAGATGAAGAATCTAGCCAGAAAATAGATCATTGAAGTGATGCAGAGCTAAATTAGGATTCGTGAGACCATATCATCATATAGTGGATTTGTCGCTTGAGTGAAATAGCCCAATTTGAAAGTGGTACCAATCATTGAAGATGAGGATGATCAGGTCTTAGGAAGCTCAGGAAGCTTGTATTACCTCAACAAAAATTCATTCAATAAAGAGATCCAGAAGTATCCACTTCCTCTGGGACTTACATTACCTCACCTTGAGATGTATGATGCCACTATTGATCCTAATAAGCATATGAGTCCATTTGTAACTTGCATGCAATTGTAGAATTCCTTAGATGCCATGCAAGGCATTTTTAATTATGTTGATGGGGAATGCAAGGTTGTGGTATCACGATCTCTTCGCAAACTCTATAAAAGTTTTCAAGCAATTGGCCACTAAGTTCATAAGTGCATTCATCTCCCGCATGCTTTTCTTGCATATCCAAAAGTTCAAATATGAAAGAATCGAGGTCATGGGTAGAGACAAAAAAAATAATGACTTTATTTTTGCATTATGGAATGCAGTCGAGAGAGCTTTACACCAAGTTTGCTAGGTGACCTACCCTTATTGTGCAAGAAATGCTCCATTGAGTTCATGACCATGCAAAGATTGAGGAAGCTAATAGGTCAAAGAGAGATTTGGAAAGAGCACATTGTGACGACCCCACCTCCCTCTAGGGCGTACCCCAGGATTTAGTGGACCGCC